TATGCAGGAAATCCACGGTGCCTCTGAAGCGCACTTCTCCAAGAAAAAACAAGCAAATACTTGATACATCTAGTAACCATCAATCGATTTCTGAAAACATTCTTAATGTAAGCATTTTAGTTTGAGTCCATAATAATAATAAAAACAATAATAACAATAACTTTTGTTCTGGAATTTATTTTATTTTATTCATCGAAATAATTAAATAATTTTTAATTGATAAATTTAAAAATCAATGACTGATTCCCTTGCAATTATATAATGAATAATTTAAATGAATTAAATGAAATATAAACTTATAATCTATTAACTGTCAAATATTTATGCATTTATTATGTAATATATGCAAGTTGTCTTGGAAAATATTTCTTTATAATTTAAAAAGAAAGAAAACCTAAAATAGTAATCGATAATTGGAAATGATTTTTTGAAAAATAAAATTGGAAATGATTTTTTGAAAAACAAAATTGGAAATGATTTTTTAAAAAATAAAATTGGAAATGATTTTTTGAAAAATGAAATTGGAAATGATTTTTTGAAAAACAAAATTGGAAATGATTTTTTGAAAAATAAAATTGGAAATGATTTTTTGAAAAATAAAATTGGAAATGATTTTTTAAAAAATAAAATTGGAAATGATTTTTTGAAGAATAAAATTGGAAATGATTTTTTGAAAAATAAAATTGGAAATGATTTTTCTTTAATTTTATAACTCCAAAACTTATAATTCTTTAATTTTATGACTCCAAAACTTATAATTCGAAGGAATTGATTTTTCCGGAAAAAAAAAAGATAAAAATTTTTGTTTTTGTTTAATTTGAATGTTTTTGCAGCCAAATATACCAATGATATATGCAAGCGGTAAAACAGAAAAGAATTATCCATTTATTGTAATGCAAATATTAGGAAAAAATTTGACAACATTACGGAAAGAACGAACGGAATCAAAGTTCACTTCATCAACAGCATTCCGGATCGGTGAACAAGTAACCTATTATTATTACTATATTGCATCTGTTGATTTTCTCTTTTACAATAGTAGCTTTTGGTTAGCAATAAAGCTGAATGCTTTATTTGTTTTGCATTTAAGTAAGATAATATTAATTAAGAATTAATTAGTATAATTAATAATAATTGATAAATAATGACAATTAATTAACAATTAATAATTAACAATAATAATAAGCAATAATAATGATAACTACAGCAATGATGACAATTAGTAATGATAGTTAATAATTGATAATTAATAAAAATTATTAATAATTAAACAATCAATAATTAATAATATTCAATGATAACTGATAGCTAATAATAATAAACAATGATAATGATAATAGCTACAGTAATGATGATGGCAACGATATAATTATAATAATAATAATAATAAATAATAATAGTAAAAGACATATATAATAAAAGATATTAAATAATGTTTTATCAATATAAGCTTTTGTTTTTAATCAAAAGTTAAATTTTATAATGAAATATGATAAATGCAATAATAAATAACATTTCATGTATTATATAAAAAAATGACAAAAATTAATGTAACGAATAAAATGCAGATTGCGCATGCATTGCAATACTTGCATGAAGCAGGTTATATACATCGTGATGTTAAACCAACAAATTGTTGTATTGGTGTACCACCTGAAACAGCTGTTATTTATCTTGTTGATTTTGGTATTATTATTATGATTAATTTCATATTACTTTCTTCCTCCTAACCATTTCTTATTCCTTTTTAATTTTAATTAATAAATTTAAAAACAAACAAAATTTTTTAATTTCATTTTTTTTTTCTAAAAATTATTTTCAATTTTTAGCATATTTTAAATTTGATTATTGTTATCGAATGCAAAACAAATCATATAATTATCAATATTTTAACAAATAATTCAATTAAATTCTTTTTGTGTCTTTTCTTAATTTAATTATTAACTTAAAAAAAATGAAATTAATAACTTTATCAAAAAAAAAAATCACTAACTTTAAAATAAATCAAAATAATTACTAATTCCTATTATTAATTAATTAATTAAAATTTAGGGAAGAAAAAAAGAGAAAAAAAATAAAATTTTATTTCTTTTTTCCTAATTGAAATTTTTTTTTTTTGAACTTTAAATAAGTTTATTTATTTCTTTCATTGCTTTAAAGGTATGTGTCGAAAGGTGATCGATTCAGCTGGTAAATGGCATATGCCACCGTTAAAATCAATATTTAAAGGAACTTTACGATATGCTTCAGTGAATGCAATTATCACACATCAATGTGGACCATCTGATGATATGATGGGATGGATTTATTCGATTGTAATGATTTCATTGGGAATTTATATATATATATATATTAGTTTAAACTTTTAAAATTTTCAATTAAATTTATCAAAATATTCATTCATTCTACTTTCTCTCTCTCACAATTTCATTAAATCGTAAAGTTTTAGATTAAAATGAAATTATTAAAATTTAAAGTTTGTAAACAACAAAAAAAAGAAAATTAAAATGAATTTTCAAATTATAAACAAAAAAACAAAAAAGAAATTACAACATTTTAAAGTTGTATATGAAGAAATCTTAGTTGCAATTTTCAAGTTGTAAACAAAAAATTAACATTATCTATTTGTTGCAATATTTTTCGCATCATTTAATTAACCAATCGATTAATTAACCTTTACAAATATTCAATAGTTTAATAAAGGGTTGCAAATATTCTATAGTCTAACAGAAGGTTGCAAAAAGAATTCATTCATTCCATTTTATTGATTATATCTTAATTATAGTTAATTCAAAAATAGCCTAGCAATTCATTGAATCTGTGTTATCATTCCTCTTTATCACATCAAAAATTAATCTTTCTCAACACTACCACTCTCAAACCAGCTGTTTTTATTGTAAAAATTCCAGGCGAATGCATCTGATCGTA